TTGGATATTTTGAGTATAGTTAATATTTTTTGGAAGCTATTCATGTAAAAGCCTAACATAACCAAGTCAGTACTAATGATTTTCACTGCTAAACTTGGATATTTTTATTATATTCACTATCATCCGCATTGACAAATATTGATAATTTTGAAATGATCTCCTCATTTAATCGTTGTCAATCTCCCTGTTTAAAAATGAATACGTGTTCGTGGCAGCACGAGTTCATTAATGCGTAAATTTAAAAGCTCCTTCATGCCGTATCAGTTATGCTTCGGTTAGTAAAAAGTTGGAGTGGCGGACTGTCATCGTGTAATCAGATATATATTCATTCAGTCGTAGATTTCTCTGGTGATGAGAGAGATTAATCGTTCGCGCAAGTGTGAAAAGCTCCAGACGAAGACCAAGGTTTTACATGGCACACATGACCAATTACTTGGTCAACGAGAAATACTTTCTTCTAGAATATATGATCGTAATTAATGCGATTCGTGTCGTTAATTAGACGAATCGCACCCGGAAGAAATGGTCGCTAGTCAACACAGCTGGACAGAGAATTTTTTACTCGAGAGAAATAAATATGAAAATGGAAAATATTTTGAACAGAAAAAGAATGGGATATAATAAAATTAAGATATAAATTTAATTATTAAACTCTATGAAAAAAGAAATTTTTCAATTATCGTCTTTTGTTATATATAAGGTAATTTGAACATGAAAATTGTATTGGGTGAACATTTATTTAAAAAAAAAAAGTAATAAAATGAAAATCTATAACTCATACCTGAGGGGAGTAGAATTAAATTCATACCTTTCCAATAATATTTGTGCGAAAGTGAATGCAGCGAACTCAATGGGAATTCGAACTCAGCTCTACGAAAAAAATTACTGTATTTCCTAAAAATTGTTAAACCAGTATTCACTCACAAAAAAAAACAAAACAAAAAAAACAATATTTTTAATTTACGAAATATTTTTCGGCTTTAAATAACCGAGAAGGGGTTGATAATCCGTAAAAAAACATCCGTATTCGCATAGAGTTTATGTATTGGTTTAAATGAAAATTGAAATAACGTATTTTAGCACTGAATGTACTAGTAGTTGTAAAACACACATACATATATATATAACACAGACAGCCCCATGTATATATAAATATATATAACATACACATATATATAATACGCACGAACACACACACCTATATATATATATATATATACAACACTGACACATATATATGGCACACACATATAAATAACATACACACATGTGTATATATATAGCACATACATATATATGGTATATTATAACACATACATATACATATTTGTGTATATATATATATATATATATATATATATATATATACATGCATCACATGCATGCACACACATATATATATATATATATATATATATATATATATATATATATATATATATATATCTCATGCATATTTAATTTATTTTGATTTATACGTAATTTTTATAGATACATTTACATTTACCAGTCCGAATGTTCGAGAAATTTTTGCAAAAAATATGCGTTCTCCGACAGGAATCGAACCTGTATTCCTATACAAAAACCGGCATTTGATCTGACGTGCTATACGATTTAGCTACAGAAAAGCGTCTGGTTATCAAATTCCAAATTACCGTTTTCAAACACACTTCAACGATTTTTGTCAATTCATCATATATCCTCACAAATCTATCTTAATGTAAACATTAGCAACATATAATGAAATGGATTAAGTCAAAAAATTATTCAAAATATTTTTGGTTATTTTTATAGATATAATTTATTTAATAAAAGCTGTTTGTTTTAATTAAACAATATTAATTACAAATGAACGAGATGAAGAAATTTAGGAATGTAGCTCGTGTGTCATGAAAATAATGATAGTGTAAGGAGTGGCTAGGAAAGTTTCACCTGCGGGGAAATGGTTGTTTGGTGGTAAATAATTAATCACCTACAACGCCGCGTAGACGTTTTGAAACTCTGTAAAAACTGGAAAGTGAGGTTTGGTCAGCAGTACTCCTTTTTGGGTTTTATATGACTCTTGTAAAGATAGAACTCGTCAAGACGATCGAAACTATGTTCAGTTATGTAACGTTCCCTTTTGAATTTAGCCTTGTATTTATTTTGTCCTCTACACATTTTAACATTAACAGGTTTCCAAAGATGCAATTTAGTCTCTAAGGAATCCCATGGTTTTATTCTTCACATCCCGATGCTCAGAGCTATCGTCCCTGAGGTGTTAATTGCCTATTTATTTTTGTTTCCTCTCCTTATATTTCTTTAAGAAAGAATACTATTGTTTTACAATGATAGTTTACAAGGAGATGTAACTAATGTCATTTAGTGTACTATTTTTAAAAAAATCAAAATAAAACCAAAATAAGACTTTGGACAGACGTAACGTTTCAGAAAAAAAAGTCTAAATTCAAATACATCGATGTTCCAAAATGTTGAGAAGCCTGTCTTGTATCGTACAGGACTCCCTCGAAATGAAACATAGGATCCAAAAGCTATCGGATAACATTTGGAGATATACTGATAAAAACCTTCTATATAGGTGTACATAGCTCTGATATTTTATAGGTATTCGTGCGAATAGAGTTTGGTTTGGTTTGGTTTACGGCATATAATTTAATGCCTACAAGATTTTTATTACTGGTAATAATTTTTTTTCAAATGTACTTCTGGTAATTTTTTCTTCCTTCAAAAATCTATTTCTGGTTATATTTTTTCTTCAAAAATGTATCGCTTGTAATTTATTTTTTCAAAAAGTATTGCTGGTAATAACTTTTTTTCAAAAATGTATTGCTGGTAATAAATTTTTTACAAAGTATTTCTGGTATAAAAAAAAAACAATTTTTACAATTTTCCTAGTGTTTTGACCCAAGTTTGGGGGTTAACTATTTGCCCGTAGATGGGACCCTAACAGGTGCTACAACCTCGGGTCACGGTGGACCTGAGAACACCAGTAATAAAGAGGTGGTTCCACACTCCTCAAACCTCCTAATCAGAGGCCTTGCTGCTGGACGTATTCTATGGTCTTACCCAGGACGTGGATGTAGTTTGTCGTCTTACCCAGGACGGTCGTGCGAATAGACCTGAGATTTCTGGGACATAATAATGAAAGAGGGATTAGACAATGAGACAGGAGCTCGTGTAGATGTATGTCAGATTATGGACTTCGAGAGATGGTGCGATGACAAGCTAAGAGCTAAAAGTATTGGAAATGGTGGAGGGCCATAATCGTTAACATTCTGAAGTGCATCGTACATAAAAGAAGGTTATCAAAGGATATATCTTGATGATAATGATTCGAGACGTAATCTGAAAAGTCACAGTCACTGAAATGGCGAGAAAAGTCTTATTAATTGTAATGACAGCAAAAGAAAATTTGATATGTTATTGTTTCTTATGTTTCATACTTTTCTAGTTTCAATGTAGCCGTATATTTTTCAAGTTTATTGCTATATATATATATATATATATATATATATATATATATGTGTGTGTGTGTGTGTATATATATATATATATATATATATATATATATATATATATAGGGAGAGAGAGAGAGATCATTATATAAAATGATGTATAAAATCATACGTAAGAGAGAAGACGAAAGAGTTTTTTAAACAAATGGGAAAATTTAGTGACGGGTGAAGTAAATTTCGCAACAGACTTGCGGGTAAATTACACTGAAATAATTAAAAAAAAGTACTTGTTCACATTCTAAGGTTACATTTGTAATCATTGTAGAAATATGAATGTATTACTTGACGCACGTAAGAGATGTAAGGATTTGCTGAAGGCTACTACCCGACAAAAAACGTATTTTCATTCTATATTGAAGCAACTGTGTGCCAATCGACCTTGCTAGTGGAGAAAAATCTATCTTTTGTGTTCAATAAAACTTTCTTCTAAATACACCGCTGAAATGTGAGAAATATTGGAGGAAAATAGAATTTGCTTTGATAAAATCGAGTTACTAAAAAACGTGCAATTGCTAAAAGTAAATAAAAACTGAATTATCACATTATTAAAAACAAAAAAATGAAAGAAAAAAAAAATCATTATCCAGTTAGGAACTGCAGTGATCCCCTTATCGATGGGGGATATGTACTGAGACCACCCACTCACAGTGGATACATAGCACCAAAAGGAATACTGAACTATAGATGTGATATTTTTCCAGACCTACATACATACTGATTATGAAGTTCAATTGATAAATTAGACAGTAATAATGACAAGAATTTACAATAATACATAATAATTATGACAATATACGATTGTAAAAGTTATATGACAGAAGATTCATTCTTATCGGAGATCTTATTAGGTGCAATAAAAGATTAATGACAACAACTAATAATAGGATCGATCAATTATAACAATAGACAGTGTGACGGATAGGAAGAGCCGCTCTTTCTGTAAATCTTATTAGGCGTGGCTAAGAGATTAATGACAATAACTAATAATAAAATTGAGCAATTATAACAATAGACTATAATAAATATAATGTGGCAGATAGAAGATTGCTTCTTTCAGTAGATCTTATTAGAAGCAACAAGCGTATTATGCCAAAATTGCAGAGTAATTTACGAAAGTCTATCAAGACCAAACGCTCAGGATAACCAACGAAATGGGCCTCGATTCATTAGAACAATGCTCAACAAGTCCTTGGTTTCAATGGCTGATGTGCGTAATTGTGGCTTTGAGTCGGTTGATCGACCTTCCTATTTTCTTGAATGTGTTTCCCAACATGAAAAATAACCCTGACTGGGAACCTTTGCACTTGGCCATGTGGACGAACTTTGCTCTCCTTTACATTTGGCCTTCTGGACCCACTTTGCTAGCCTTTTCACTTGGCCATTTGGGCGAATTTTGCTCGCCTTTGCACTTGGCCCTGTGGGCGATCGTTGCTCGCCTTTGAACTTGACGCTGTGGGCGAAAAAGGCTCGCCTTTACACTTGGCCATGTGGTTGAACTTTGCTCGCTTTGCACTTGGCCCTGTAGGCGAACGTTGCTCGCCTTTACACTTGGCCCTGTTGGCGAACGTTGCTCGCCTTTACACTTGGCCCTGTTGGCGAACGTTGCTCGCCTTTACACTTGGCCCTGTTGGCGAACGTTGCTCGCCTTTACACTTGGCCCTGTAGGCGAACGTTGCTCGCCTTTACACTTGGCCCTGTAGGCGAACGTGGCTCGCCTTTACACTTGGCCCTGTAGGCGAACGTGGCTCGCCTTTACACTTGGCCCTGTAGGCGAACGTGGCTCGCCTTTACACTTGGCCATGTGGTTGAACTTGCTCGCTTTGCACTTGGCCATGTGGTTGAACGTTGCTCGCCTTTACACTTGGCCATGTGGGCGAACGTTGCTCGCCTTTACACTTGGCCATGTGGGCGAACGTTGCTCGCCTTTACACTTGGCCATGTGGGCGAACGTTGCTCGCCTTTACACTTGGCCATGTGGGCGAACGTTGCTCGCCTTTACACTTGGCCCTGTTGGCGAACGTTGCTCGCCTTTACACTTGTCCCTGTAGGCGAACGTTGCTCGCCTTTACACTTGGCCCCTGTGGGCGAACGTTGCTCGCCTTTACACTTGGCCATGTGGTTGAACGTTGCTCGCCTTTACACTTGGCCATGTGGTTGAACGTTGCTCGCCTTTAAACTTGGCCATGTGGTTGAACGTTGCTCGCCTTTAAACTTGGCCATGTGGTTGAACGTTGCTCGCCTTTAAACTTGGCCATGTGGTTGAACGTTGCTCGCCTTTACACTTGGCCCTGTAGGCGAACGTTGCTCGCCTTTACACTTGGCCCTGCAGGCGAACGTTGCTCGCCTTTACACTTGGCCCTGCAGGCGAACGTTGCTCGCCTTTACGCTCTCTTGGCCCTGCAGGCGAACGTTGCTCGCCTTTACACTTGGCCCTGCTGGCGAACGTTGCTCGCCTTTACACTTGGCCCTGTAGGCGAACGTTGCTCGCCTTTTTACACTTGGCCCTGTAGGCGAACGTTGCTCGCCTTTACACTTTGGCCCTGTAGGCGAACGTTGCTCGCCTTTACACTTGCCCTGTTGGCGAACGTTGCTCGCCTTTACACTTGGCCCTGTAGGCGAACGTTGCTCGCCTTTACGCCAGCCCTGCAGGCGAACGTTGCTCGCCTTTACGCCTTGGCCCTGCTGGCGAACGTTGCTCGCCTTTACACTTGGCCCTGTAGGCGAACGTTGCTCGCCTTTACACTTGGCCCTGTAGGCGAACGTTGCTCGCCTTTACACTTGGCCCTGTTGGCGAACGTTGCTCGCCTTTACACTTGGCCCTGTTGGCGAACGTTGCTCGCCTTTACACTTGGCCCTGTAGGCGAACGTTGCTCGCCTTTACACTTGGCCCTGTAGGCGAACGTTGCTCGGCTTTGTACTTGAACATGTGGGCAAACATTGCTTGCCTTTTCACTTGGCTCTGTAGGCTAAATATAGTCGCCTTTATACTTGCCGGTATAGACGAACATTGGCCGCCTTTGTACGTGTTTCTACAGGCGAATATTAGTCACCTTTATACTTGACTGTATAGGTATATATTCGTCAGGTTTATACTTGATTATGCAAGCATCCATATGACACGATTTTGTGGTGGTTTTAACAATTTGCACTGGATTCAGTTAATGTATTCTAGGATATTCCGACAAGGCAGGATTTACAATGTCGTTGAAACAGTTATCGTCATTTTATGCAGTTTCTGTTCCCTATAATTATAATATCCTTGAGGAAGGCATGAACCCATTTAGCCCTGCGTATCTTCTTAACTTGTCTCTTGATTGAGAAAACGAGTTGATGTTTAAGCATAGTTTACAGAAAATTCCAAACGGCTATAGAAAGACTGTGTTGCGGCAAGATTCCAATTATTGAAAGCTCGTCGAACTAGAAGGTTGGCATTCAAAAACGAACAGAAACTCTCAGCAGGTTTACATAATCGGCAGCAATATATATATATATATGGATATACCATGTGTTACCTATTGAGGTTGGATGACGTGGATTCCTTGGACGGTCAATCGTTTCCGTCCTTTTGAAGATGGGCATCAATGGCCGGAACCTAAAGTGTGCTTCACAGGCGTCTCAAGACCACAACTCAATAGACATCGAGTTGGATCTGTTCAAGATCTAAAATAAATAAAGTTAGATAAAACCATGTTCCGCAACTCAATGCTACTTCAAACGTGAAACGCATCTGTTTACCTTCCATTCTGCGCCATTAATAACGGTCACTTAACCCCATCATTGAAATGGAGAAATACAGAGCAATGGAGTAAAGAAAGTTGGTTCACTGATTGGAGATTCTGGAGCCATCAGGAGAAGAAAACAGCAAACGTCAGTTTAGAAACTCATGATAAACTAAGGATAAGAGAAGACATTATATCTGAGAAGAGAAGATTAAAGCCGTATATCACCTTGGAACTGTAGAAGTTACGGCCTTACTAAGAAAGACCAGCAAGAGCTAAACAGTTGCCACAGACGACAACTGGGAAAAAGGTACCCTCATAATATCTCCAACAAGAACTTGTACAGCAGATGTCAAGAATCTCATTTGTTTTTGTTCATTTTGAAACTAAGGTGGAAACTCCTTGGACATATTTTGCAAATGGATCCAGAATGCCCAGCTAATAAAACCATGGAGTTTTACTTTGAAAAGACTGACTTAAAAATATTCAGAGGTCATCCAAGAACCACCACAGCCACAACGCTGAACCGAGACATTCAAAGACAAGGCAGAAAGATCCCATTTTTCCTTTGATGAAGTTTACAATCAAGGAAAATCTGCCAGAAATCAGCAAATCCACAGAAAACAAGGAAAGTTAGCAAAATAATGTCGAATCATTATAAAATGTCACTGAAGATGAAGAGAACATGTTAATTCATGACCTCAAATCGAAACAGTTTTGTTCCTGATGATGATGATGATGTTGAAAATTTCGGTGGCAGTTGTAAAAAGAAATCGCAAGAGACTGACACGTATACAAAGACAATACCCTGCCCGGTGGCAAAAGCTACTGGTAGCGCCAGGAGTGGCTGAACCGCTTTAGCCACCGAAATTATGTTACCTCCCCTGGCTGGCGGCTGACGAAGGCAGGGTATCGCACGTGTTTTCAACCGTTGAATGTAGAGAATTGTGTGATCGTTGCACACATCATGCCAATGACTACCCATTCTAAAATTTTTGTGCAGGGAATTTTTGGCGATACATTTTTTCGACCTGTTTTGTCAGACACCAAACACGCCGAAATATTTAAGTTCCCTGAGTCTTTGGGTATATCTTAAATATAAATAAAAAAACTGTTGAAAGAGGAAGATGGTGATTTCAAATCGTAGACGAGAAAAAAGAGAATGCGATGAAACAGCTGATGGAGATCCCGGATAAAGGACTATTCGTTCTGTTTTGAAAAAATGTGAAGGGATACAGAGACAAGTGTATGAAATACCAAGGTGATTAATTTAAAGTAAACTACTGCAAAATTGCTTTTTGCTATGTTTTTACATTAATGTTAATTGGTTGCTTGTTTTCCAGACAGGCTTCGTGAATTTAAGTAGATTTTATTTACCGCTCTAGGAAACTTAGATTTAACCATTTTTTTTTTTTAACTGCCAAACAGTTAAAATCTTCATCTGAAAAGTTAAGCAACGTCGTGGTTGGTCAGTACATGTATGTGTGAACGCTGGGGAAGTGCTGGTGCTGCAAGCTAGGATGAGCGGGTGGTTTTACTTACGGTCAAATTACGTTGAAACAACGGTTCCCGAATGATCACCGAAGTTAAGCAACGTCGAGCTTGGTAAGTAATTAGCTGACCGTTTGGGAATACCAGGAGTTGTAAACGTGGATGTTTAGGTGGAATTGTTCATCAGATAGCCGAGTTCTAATTCCCGTTGGGTTCGTTATATTCAATTACGCGCAAATAGCCTTGGGAAAAGGCATGGATCCACCTCTTATTCTCCCAGCTACGGGTTTAATTTGTAAGATTTGTGTCACTTAATTATTATTACCATCTCCAAAAAAAAAAAAGATTCTTACAATCTAAACTTTAAATAACTTGCTAAGGGTTGATAAGCCGTGAAAAACAAATCAATCAAATTAAGCTGTTCTCATTTGTTGTTTAGTTATTTTATTTCTTCTACAATTTGTTGAGTTTTGGATATTCCTATTTTTCTTTCCCGCTTTTCTTATATCATATTTGGCTTCTTTTTTTTTCTTCTTATCACCATTAATGTTTAATTATTTACGTTTTAAATCTTAAATATTCTACGCGTTTCCCATTCACCTCGATTGTTTTCCTTTGAAACAAATCGGTGATTTTAACGAAATATTTGCATAGTCTCCGTGATGGTTGACTTTGTTTTCACTTTAGATTTACTAGCCACGTTTTATTGCCGCTTCTACATTTGTATTCACAAATCCATTGCTGAAAAAAAACTGGACGTTTTTCTCCTCAGAATGTATGACCCAAGTGAATTTTGACCATGAATCGTCATCTTTGTTTGACTTTTGTTCCGTTTGGCTGAAATTTCTTTCGACTTTCTTCTTTTACATTTCTTTAGTTTTTTTTTTTTTAATTTCTTTTCTTTTTATCCAATTATTTTCAATTTCTTTTTTTGGTTTCATATATCTTTCTTTCTTTAGATTTTCTTTTCCTTTCTTTCTTTTAATTCTCTATATTTTTAGTTCGTTTTTCTTTTCTTTTTTATTCATTTTCGCTTATTTTCCATCATTTTGCACATCCTGACTTCCCTTTTTCTTTTCTTCCTTTCATCGATTTCATTTATTTCTTTTTTATTTTCATTTCATTTTATTTCTTCCTTTACACATTTTCTTAATTTGGTAATTGTTTTCTTCTTACTGCATTTTCCTTCTTTTACACTTTCTTCATCTTTTTCTTTCATTTTGGGTTTTTATTTTTAGTTTGTACCAATTTTTTTTTTCATTTCTTTTATCTTCTCCCCGTCTTTTTATCATTTTCCTTCCCCGTTTTACCATTTTTTTCTCTTCTGTCTTTCATTTTTTTCCTTCTTTTTCATTACCTTTTTCTTTTACCGCTGCTGTCTCAATCCTTAAATTTTTAATATCGTTTTTTTTTCCTGCTGTTTTTAAGTCTTTTGCCTCTTCCTAATGCACCTCTTTCTTTATTTCTTCTTTTCTTGATAAGCAACCTACCTTTTTTATTCTACCGATTTCCTTCTCTATGCGCTCTCTTCATTCTTTCTTCCTCTTTTCTCTTCTCAATACTCTTCCTTCTTTATTTCCTCTTTCATTCCTCTTTCGATTAATAATCTTTCTTTTTTCTTCTTTTATTCCTTCCTATTCTTCTCTTCTTTATTTTCTCTTTCATTCCTTCTTTCTCCTCACTTTTCCCCCGAATACATTCTTTCTTTCTTTCTTTCTTTCTTTCTGCGCTTCATCTATATTTCTAATTTCATTACTTCTTTCCTTTTCCTTCTACAGCCGATACGCTTCTTTCCTTATTTTCTTTTTTTAGTTCATTCTATCATCTTTCCATCTGTACTTAATGCACCTCATCTAGATTTCTTTTCTTCCTTTCCTAATGAGCTTTCTTTCTCGTTCCTTCTTTCATTCCTTCTTGCTTTTTCTTTAATAATTCTTTTCCCCTCTGGATCTGATATAACCTTAGACTTTAAAAAAAAAAAAAAAAAATCTCCCCCGATATATTTTTTTTTTTTTTTACTTTCTGACCTCACCATTTCTCCACTCGTTAACTCTGGAACAATGACAATCCACCACAATCCGTATATGCTTTCCTTCTTTCTATTCCTTGTAGGAATGTCTTCCTAATCTGCAGGTCAATCAGACTCAGGTTCCACGCAGTAGACTATAGATATGAAATAATAGTTAATATGAAAGGAAGTTTAATTTCTAGACGCATACAAGAGAAACAGCTACCTCCCCACTCCTCTTCCTATTCCCCAGCTTATCCTTCCTCCACCCTAGTCAAAATTATGCTTAACCCTGTCTGTAGCTTCACGCATTCAGAGATAACGGCTATGAGCGGCTGACAGATAACGAAGCAATGCCTCTTTGTTTTTTTTAACCTCCATGCAGTTTCGGTGAATGCATTGCTCTAGATAAGGTTACAATTTTCGACGACCCCCAAAAGAATCTACTTATCACTAGAGATCGCTTTAAAAGACCATCGGCATAGCTAGTAAAAATGACCGAATTCCGACACAGATGCCTGTGAAAATGCTATTCACCACGCAATTTTCAAGTCGAGAGGTCACGGTAAGAGAGAAACCTCGTTGATTCTTACATCAACGGACGCGAGACAGAATCTAACGTTCAACAACACTTCATTTTATTCTGATCGTATACCATTGACGTTTTATTAGTAGCGCTTTCACTGCTGCATTGTTGCCTATCTGCGCTGCTCGATTCTTTTGTGCAGGAATAGAAAAATTATGTTTACTTTAAATAAATGACTATAAAGAAGTTGATGACGATTCTTCGTGCACACCGCTATTTTGGCTTTGATCAAATACTCTGCTGTACACAGTGAGATGAGTGACACCCACAACAATTAATATAATAAAAATACATCATAAGATATAGCGTATTGCAGACTAGTATATGTTTACGCTGGTTTGGAAATAGAATCAAGCGTTTCCTAGTTTATCAAATAAATACTAGAGAACGACAGTTCAAAATATCTTCAAAGCATATATATATATATATATATATATATATATATATATATATATATATATATATATATAAGCCAACGACAGGAAAAGGCTTAATTTTACTTAATCTAATTATTGTTACATTTTTTCTTTTTTTTTTTTTGTTGTAACTAAATTACATCTTGTAGATTGGCTCTTTGGTCGATGGAAAGAAACAACGGGAAAACGAAAAGAAAAATATTTCTGACATCTGGGCTGGCGCCACCCCCCCTACTGTTCATATCGAGATTCTTGGCAACATCCGAAGAAGGATCTGCAATGTAATCGATCCTAACTTGGCATCTCGACGTCAGTCACTTTCTTACTAATGAGACGTGGCTTCCCTCTGTCTTTTCTACAAATATTTTCATGGTAACTGCTTTGACGAGCTTCCCCCAGCTGGTTCCCTGACAACGTGAATCTAAGCGTGCAACTAGATTGGCGTCTAGGTCCCACCACTGTTAAATTAGTTAAATGTAACCGCCACTTCTACTCCAACAGCTTCTTTTCTCGGCCTTCTCGCCTCTTGAACTACCTTCCATCTCCTTACTTCCCTGATAACTATAATCGTTAAATAATTAAATGCAACGTCAATCGCCATCTTCTGTGTTCTTGAATCCATTTCATCTTTTATCCTTTCCTCACCGCACCCCCCCGTACTCAGTCTTTTCTCTCACTTTTATGCTCTGTAACCCCCTGTGTCCTAGTGGGATTCTCGCCTTGATTGGGGTGAAATGATTAAAAATAAATAAATCTAGAGGCTCTGTCTATTATAAACATCATTAACTGGTGAGGAAATCTTATTGTTATTCTTTTTCTTTCTCCTCTTTTGTTCTTGAAACCATTTTTCTTTTATGACTCAATAATTGTAAGAAGACAGCGTTTATGCTTGTTAGAAAAATGAGCAACGCAAGACGGGAACGACAAATTAGAGAAACCAAAAACAAACTGGTACAAAACTTTACATATCTAGGAAGTGTTTTAACAGAGGTTGGAAGATATGACACCGAAAACAGAAGGCGCATTAGAATAGTGAAAGATGCCTGACAAAAGTTAAGCAAAGTATTAAAAAAATAGAAAAATATAGTTAAAAACAAAGAAAAGGGCCCCGAACCGTTATTCATTATCAGTACTCCTATATAGCAGTGAATGCTGAAAAATCTCCTCACAGATGAAGTAAAGACTTAAGGCAACAGAAATCGGTTACTACAGAAGGATGTTGAGAATACCATCGACATAACATGCGTACAACAACAAAGCTTTTGATAAATAGAAACAAAACCACTTATACTTAAAAGCAGAAAAAGGCAATTAAATTTTCTACGGTACATAATGAGGAAAGAGGGCTTGGAAAAATTGACACTCACAGGATTTTGGAAAACAGCGCATCACGTACTAAACGAGTCTGTGTAAATAGTTGACAGAACAGAGATTAGGAGTGATAGCATATAAACAAACACTGGTAAGAAACAAAAAGAACAGGAAGTTGTGGAGAACCATGATCGCCCACGTCCTAAAGGGACACGGCATATAGAAAAAAACGAATACAAGTTGTGAGTGAATTTCTCAAGTCCACGAAAAATAACTTCCAAGAAAAAAAATAAACGATATTTGGTGATTTGGACAGGTGTTGACTAGGTTAATTGATTTTACGATATATCGTAATTAGATTAGTTGATGTTATGATATATCAATCTGATTTACTATAGAACTTTTGTATGGGTCACCAAGAGGTAATCGAACTCATTACTCAGTGATTATTGCCAAGAAGACTAAGCTCGCTAAATTTTATCACGCCCCGCAGCTCCGCCATTTTCTCTGAGGAGTTTTCTGCACACAACTCATAATAAAAATAAACTTTTCTATCTTATAAAAAAAGGCAACAACATCAATAATAATAATTATAATAATATTTAAAATAATATCGAACCTGTATCCTATACGGAACCGTCATATAGCCTGACATGCTTTTACCGATTGAGCAGGTCGATTTTACTGTTTTTGAATGTCCGAGAAATTTTCATTGGTTCGATTCCTGTCGGAGGACGCATATCTTCTATGAAAATTTCTCGGGTATTCAGGCCGTAAATATTGTTAATACTGTTTATTATAAACAAAGCATTTACTTAAATATTTGTATCTATAAAAAGAACGTATAAACATAAAAATTATATATATATATATATATATATACTGCGTGTGTGTAAGAGGTCTGATCAAAAAGTATTGGGACTGGTGGTATAAAAAAAACTACAACACATAAGATTTCGGCATTTAATCTCTTTCGAAGTAGAGCTCGTCTGAAGCCAGGCACTTTATCCAGCGTTGTTACCCTTGATAGAAATATTCCGAGAAAAAACTTGTTTTGGGGATAACGTGCAGCTGTCTCGTCGCATTCACTTGGATTTCCTTCAGGTGTAGAAATCATGTTCGTTTCAAAAGGGAAAATTTTGCAAGGAGAGATATCTCTGGCATATGGAATTGTTCGTATGTGGGGAATGTTATCATTATCCAAAAACTGCTTCACAAGCCATGATCACTAGTGTAACCTCTGTGGTGTGATGAGTTCACTACACTTCCAAGCATCGTTGTAAAATACGGAGGGGAACGAGAACTTCTTATGTATACGCCAAAGGGTTCAAGTTCAGTCTGTGCCAAGCGGCTTCAATCTGCGTACTTTAATTCTGTTACCAAGCAACGATACTTTGTAATCGATACTTTTATATATATATATATATATATATATATATATATATATATATATATATATATATATAACTGACTATATCAATAAAACATTAGCATGAAGAGGTTACTTCGCTGAACGAATCTTAGTGATTTCACATTTTGTCATATATATATATATATATATATATATATATATATATATATATATAAATTAGGTAGTTAGATGTATATGTATATTTATTAATATATATCTTCGCTCTGTCTAACCACATCGAACACTGTTATGTTTAAACCTCATGAACAAATTTGATGATTATTTATTTGCTTGACTGTGTATACACGCCAACCAGAGCGTATACGGTTGCTTATATCTAGTCATTTGATTTATCTCTCTCTCTCTCATATATATATATATATATATATATATATATATATATGTGTGTGTGTGTGTGTGTGCTTATATTTATGAACATTGTCATATTTCAGGTGTGGTTGATTATATATACACATTTTCATTAATTTTTTCTTCATTATTTTCTCTCTAGTGGCAGTTGAAATTTCAAGGACAATGAGGAAAGAAGGTTTGGGGTATTGGAAACTCACATGTCCTATTAAAGGCAAGAGGGTAACCTACCTAACGAGCTTCAGATAACAGAGCTTACGTATGAAAGAATAGAAAATGGAGTGGACAGGAAAAAGACAAACCTTACTAAGAGCTACAAAGGATAGAAAGTTGTGGAGAGCCATAATCAACCAGGTGCTGAATGGAAACGTTACACAGATGATGAAGAAGAATGATTACTCACAAACACACACTTCATATATATATATATATATATATATATATATATATATATATATGTATTCAGAAATAAATTCTTACGATAGAGAAAATGTGATTTTTTTTTGATTTTTTTTTTATTGCTGACTACTTTTCAAGATGCTAATTGACTGCACGGTGTCGGATTTTCTTATCTCAACGCTCTACACCATCAGCCCAGGCTCGTTTAGTTTGGGGCATTATCTACTCTAAAAATAAATAAATATTCCTGATGATGTAGGATTTTTTTTTTTTCATAATTAAGCGCTGAATTTTGCAAATCGACATTCAGTTTCCCTCTTGTGCATTGGAAATCAGGAATAAACGAACAGTGATCAGGAAATATTACAAGTGACACGGAAAAATATGCCAATATATAGAACACAAATGTACTAATGGATATGCGGATAATGTAACGGTTACCGTTACGAGTCGAGTTATAATACAAGGATAGATTGTTGCATTCAGTTTCGCACTAATTCCGTGAATGCGGGATTGCTGCACAAATATACAATTATATATATATTATTTATATATAGTATATATATATATATGTATTATATATATATATATATGTATTATATATATATATATATATATATATATATATATATATATATTATATATATTATTTATATATAGTATATATATTATATAGTTTATATTTATATTATTTATATATAGTGTATATATTATGTATTATATATATTATTTATATATAGTATATAGATTATATTTATATTATTTATATATAGTATATATATTATGTATATATATATATATATTATATATATGAAAAAAGTGTATATAAATATAAACAAATATATATATGTATAATTATTTATATATTATATGCGCGGTACTTATTAGAAAGCGCTCAATATCAGAGATAGAGCTAACATATTTGGTTGGATATATGTATATATTATATATATTATTTATATATAGTTTATATTTATATTATTTATATATATATATATATATATATATATATATATATATAGGAGGCACGGTGTATAGTAGCGTATAGCGGCTCGAATTCCAGTCGAATCCATTGCATTCACTAACGTGCTAATACCTTTGGGAAAGGTATTAATCCTCTTCTTCTCCATCCAGCTATGGGTAAATATACATAGCAGGACAGACTGGGTTCTATAGCCTTGGATGGCAACTGGTCGAGGAGAAGAACAACTCTGAATTCAAAACATTGTGGCTCGTAGTGCACCAGGTCTCTGTATTCGCCCCTTCTATACGTCTGGTTGGTTCTGCACCACTACAAGCTTCACCACTACAATAAAATCATATGTGCTGGTGACTGGTTGTCGTTTCCTAGGAACTGAGCTGCTTGACCCTCATACGTCGAATACGACGGGGGAGTCCACTATATATTATATAACAATCTGGTTGCCCCGCATTGAACTGATGATCCACCAGTGTGCCACAGACTTAGACAACATTCTTCCTTGATTTTCGTTCTCGTAGACAAAGTAACAAAAAGAAATATATGCAGAATAAGGGGGGAGGCTAATTGAATGACAAAGTGGAAATCAATTCTGTGTAATTCGTCTCGAATGACTAAAGAAAATATTTTTTGTTAATTAAATTATGTCAGTAGGAAGGGTTGGCGCTCCGAGGCGGTGTAATGGTTAGCAAGCTTGTCTCGCTAAAACAATTACGACTGAGTAGTGAATTCGATCCTCACTGGGTGCCCAATACTTTCGGCCTTGTGCCACATCTGAGCTACATTTGGAAAATCACTATATGTTTCTAGGAATGAGAGAGGGACATATAAAAAACGCGGGTGTTTTTTATCATTGTTCACCGATAGGAAACACCCGACGATGATGTTTTCATTTTTGTTGCCGTAAGAGCCAGTTACCCTCCTTACTATGCTGAATGGGCTGATCCATTCATGATAAGTAGTCCTTGGAATTTGACTAGCAAGAAGAAGTGCAGTCACTTGTCTAGCTGAATATTGAATACTGTTATCATGACTGACTCTGTCGAGTTAAGTGATATGCATTGCCAGATCAGGCATCACAACAAATTTGACATTCATTTGCCTACACAAATTTATATATCATATTTCCCCATAGAGAATAAGTAAAATAAAATTCGACTTCCTGTTTTGTGCAGACGAAAATCTGATAATCTAGCTTTGCTAACAATTTGTCTAAAAAATGATTTTCCCTTTTGACCTTTTTTTTAATAAATGAAATTCGTGTTTCGGTTGTCGCAGAGATTATATAAACCACTGGCTCTCTCGTTTTAGTTCTGTTTGTGATATCTTTTTACTATTTTTATATTTAGTAAACTCGTCTTAGAAAGGTATAAGACTGAATGGCAACCGTTTGCATATAAATATTCAGCGTTTATTGATCGAAAAGTTAGCGTTACTTACGAAAAAAAAATGTTTCGAACAGTTTTTTTTTTAGGAAATTATACTACTCCAGTCAACTATCGCCATTTTTAGTACTTTTGGTAGTTTCCTTCCTAACATTTTGTTCAATGTAGTGTGGAATGTCAAGATGTTCATTATATCATTATTTTCACTTGTCTTTATATTAGCTATTCATTTTTGATGTGGCTTACGGCAGTATCACGTTGAAATACCGTCTTCAGTACGTTCACCGAAGTTACGCAACATTGAGCCTGGTCAACACCTCTTGAGAATAACATGTGCTAGATGTGCGGGTGGTGTAATGGCTCGGAATTGTTAATCGGAGAGCCGAGTTCCAATTGCGTTCGTTATATTCAGTTAAGCGCAAATACCCTTGGGAAAAGTATGAATCCACCTCCTCTCCACCCCCCGTCATGGATTAATTAGTAAGATTTGTATCACTAAATCATTATTATCTAAATAAATATTCTTTAATCTAGAATTATTTTCTGGCTTAAATAACTCGCAAAGGGTTGATAAGCCGTAGAAAACGAATGGATCAGTGAAGATTTTTGTTATGGTTCTTGAAAGTGTTCAAGTGATGTGGGTTTTGTTTGGTTGTGTTCTTTGTGATTTTGGAGTGTCAATCTTTATGATGAAGGATTGCCTTCTTTAATATCTACAGGGTTCATTCGCTTGAAGCCATTTTAATCATTTATCTGAGAAAACAGTTGTATGTAGATGTGAGTTGAGACATTTCTCAACGGATTGGACGCTATACATAATGTCCATAATAGTGTCTTGATCTGACGAGGCTCTTTAAGAAAACAGCGGAACAAAGATTGTCCTACTCCCATTGGAGCGGGCCTGTTAGCATAGAATTTAAGCTTTTACACCGATTATTGCATGCTTAGATAATTATAAATTAGAAAGTCTATGAAGAAGGTAATGAATCAGGCAAAATATACAGAAAAGCAGTTGTCCCTGGTACTATTAAGAGATGATAAATGCGTTCTTCAGGTGATTGGAATTTCGAACTCGACCCTTTATTTCGTCCGCCAGGCTAGGTTGTTCTAGTTCCACGTGCCATGCCTCTTCCGGATGTCTCAGTTATCTCCCTTTAACTCAACTCTCCAAGTTTTTTTTTCTGCAGTAACCACGTATTGAACACACAACTCTTTGGGTCAAGTCAGTGGATACTGCTAACGCTTTTATCCACTGGGCCATGCGTCCTTGAAGAAGACCGGAGGATACAACGGCCGAAACGTCGTCAATATGGGAATAAAGGTGAGGACAACAGTCCGAACAATGTAAATAATGAAAATAATTACAATACCTCATCTCAGAAATATAGACAGATATTAAGTCACTCTTTTATCTTTACTACCCCTCTTGGGTCTTGTCTTACATTGGTAAATATAAATATCTTTACTGACAAACCACTAAATGTCAACGGTGCAACACCTGAAGACGGTCGGAAACTAGAGCGGCAGAAAAGTAAAGATAAAACAATACATCCTACGATGTTCGCCAAAAGTTGCCGCGTTCAGACAGAACTTCCTTTTAAAAATTCTTAAAGAAAAAAATAAATAACTCTTTGATATAAGGGATATATGTTTGTAATAACAACCCTTACCTATTGAGTAAAATCATTTAATTACTAGAAAGTTACTTATAAGCAACATTTGAACCCTTAGATGCTCGAAATTTTAAATGTAGAATTTTTTAAGGGAGTCGGATAAATTATTTCACAGTAAATAAAACTAACACAGATCTTACTACAAAATCTCTCATTAAGCCAAGAAATAAGATAGCTTTCTCGTATCCGTCTAACTACTAGGCTAGTTTTAATCCGGTTCTACATCTACGAAATTTTGTAAATACGCAATAGAAAGGTTGCATGCGACGCGTTCTTTGGTTTATGTCTTCAGCTAATGTACGTTACAAAATAATAGAAATTGTTTCATCTCAAGTGACACTTGCCTGAAACATTTAGACAAATTTTCCAATTCATAAAGTTGAAGATAAAACAATAATAATACATAAATTCAAACAAACGAAATGGAAGTGATAGAACTGGAAGACTGGTATGGATTGTTCAGAAACAAAAGTAATAACAACCTGCAATCAGATTTTAATGTCTTCGGTAGAGATGTTCTATTGTTTAGTTGCATTTTTTTATCTACATTCCCTTCTTGTTATTTTCCTACATATTTATTCGTACTTTTATTATTTATTGTTCCTTCATTTACTTTTTCATATTGTCTACTGGTTTATCTTTCCATATCTTTATTTGCTTTTTCATTCTTTTTAATCTTTCTTTCATTCCTCGCTTTCCTTTATCAGTACAGCCATTTTGTTAATTTCATTCTTTCTAAATCTACATTACATTTTTAATCCCTTTTTCTTTCCCAGTACTCTTCTTTCTTTCATTTCTGTTTTCCTTAATGTTCTTTTCCTTTTTTTTTTACTTCCTCCTTTATTTTCCTTTTCTTTTCTTTTTCCTTTCTTTTTCCCTCCTTTCTCTCTTTCTTAATTTCCCCTACTTTCTCTCCTTCTCCATTTTCCTACTTTCTCTCCTTCTCCATTTTCCTACTTTCTCTCCTTCTCCATTTTCCTACTTTCTCTCCTTCTCCATTTTCCTACTTTCTCTCCTTCTCCATTTTCCTACTTTCTCCTTCTCCTTCTCCATTTTCCTCCATTTTCTCTCCTTCTCCATTTTCCTACTTTCTCTCCTTCTCCATTTTCCTACTTTCTCTCCTTCTCCATTTTCCTACTTTCTCTCCTTCTCCATTTTCCTACTTTCTCTCCTTCTCCATTTTCCTACTTTCTCTCCTTCTCCATTTTCCTACTTTCTCTCCTTCTCCATTTTCCTACTTTCTCTCCTTCTCCATTTTCCTACTTTTCTCCTCTCCATTTCCATTTTCTCCATTTTCCCTCTTTCTCTCCTTCTCCATTTTCCTACTTTTCTCTCTCCATTTTCCTTTTTCCTTCTCCATTTTCCTACTTTCTCTCCTTCTCCATTTTCCTACTTTCTCTCCTTCTCCATTTTCCTACTTTCTCTCCTTCTTTATTCCCCCCTTTCTCCCCTTCTCAATTTTCCTACTTTATTTCCCCCCTTTCTCTCCTTCTCTATTCCTCCCTTTCTCTCCTTCTTTATTTCCCCCTTTCTCCCCTTCTCAATTTTCCTACTTTCTCTCCTTTATTTCCCCTCCTTTCTCTCCTTCTCCATTTTCCTACTTTCTCTCCTTCTTTATTTCCCCCTTTCTATCCTCCATTTTCCTACTTTCTCTCCTTCTTTATTTCCCCCTTTCTCTCCTTCTCTATTTCCCCCTTTCTCTCCCCTTCTCAATTTTCCTACTTTCTCTCCTTTATTTCCCCCCTTTCTCTCCTTTTTAATTTCCCCCCTTTCTCTCCTTCTTAATTTTCGTTTCTCTCCTTAATTTTCCTCCTTTCTCGTCTTAATTTTTTCTTTCTTTTCTTTCTCTCTTTTTTGTTTATTTCTTTTTAAATCTCTTTCTCATTTTTTTTTCTTTCTAGGCTTCTTAATCTCTTTCTTTTTTTGTCTCACTTTTCTTCATACTGAATGTTTTCCTTTTTTGCTTAATCTCTTTCTCAATATTTTCTTCAAATTCTCTTTTTATTTCACTTATTCTCTTTGTTTTTACTTCCTTTTTCATAATTTCTCTTTTTTTTAAATTTCTTTCGCAATCTTCACTTTCTTGATTATCTCTCTTTTCTCCTTTCTTTTTCAAATCTTTTTCTCGATCTCTCTTTGTTCCTCTTTTTTTTTATTTCACCTCTCTATATTTCGTCCTTCCCTTTTCTCTCTTACTTTTCAACCATTTCACAGCATCTTTCCCGCCTTATCATTTCCATGTCTTCCTCCACGTCTTTTCTTTGATCTTTTACTTTGAATTAAACAGAATTGAAATCGCAATACTTCCTCCAAATAGGAGAGGCGGAATTTATTTGGGAATATGGCGAAGAAGTAACAGCAGTGTCTGCCAAGATGGCAAAAGTATTAACCACAAAATTATTGATTTCCATTGTGAATAGGGATGGAGCTTTTACAGGCAATGAAGCTCAGAAACGATTTTTTTCCTAGCAAAAATAAAGAGTGTAGTTATTTTATTACGACTGTAGTGTTCACTTTATTAGTAGAAGGTTTGCCCAATTCAAATTTATGTTTTTCCTTCTTTTATGTTCCATATTTTTTCAAAATGTAGTCGATCATAGCTCTCCACAATTTCTTGTCCTTTGTAGCTCTTAATAAATATTTTATTTTTATCTCTCCTAAACCTTGTTCCGCCATCCATTTACTTAAGCTCACTAGGTAGATTATGCCATGTTTTCCTGTTGCCTTGAATCAATCCTTTGAGTATCAAATTTTCTAAGCCCTATTTCCTCATTATATGTACTAAAAATTTCAAATTTATCTCTCTCTGATGTTAAGTATTAGTATTCTTTCTGTTTCCATTTATAAATAAGAAAAAGTATTGAATCATATTTTCTGTTTTATTTTTTTTGGCTTCATTTGGTTTGGTTGATTCTATTTAGCGATATATCAACACTTCTATGGGTAATTTTATACTTTCATGGAGTCTTGTTTTTGTCTGTGGTTTTCACTATTTGTCCATAGCTGGGATCCTAACAGTTGCTTTTACCCCAGGCCCAGGGGAACCATAACAGGTGTTACCAACCCGGGACAGGGTGAACCATGGAACAACACCAACTAAGAGGTGGTTCAAAGCTCCTCATAAACCCCAATCTCCCGATCAGAAGCCTTGTTGCCGGATGTAGTTTATCGTCTTACCCAGGACTCGTTTTATTTTTTAATTTAATTAACAGATACTCACCTTTGACTATAGATATAAGATCATATGATGGCAACAACTTCAAAATAAATAGCAGAATGACTTTCAGTGATTCTTCTTCTATGTGCCGTGTCCCTTTAGAACGTTGGCGATTATGGCTCCCCACAACTTCCTGTCTTATATGTCTCTTAATAAATGATGTCGTTTTGCTATCTCTTCAAAACCTTGTTCCGCCATCCATTCACTGAAGTAGATCATTCGTTGTCCCTCTTGATGTCAGTGTGTCACTTGCATTATTTTCAGTATTATATAATCAGCATCCGTTTCTGGTGTCCCTGGTTGGTTAAAATAATCTAATACGAGCTATTCATTTTGGATCACCATATCTATATGTATTGTGTAATAATTACTATATTTATAGAAGAAGTGTGCATGCAGAATGAATTTGTTTGCAAATCTGAATTCCATCTGCACTACCTACAAACAGATCTGGAACAAAAAATTCGATATCATTTTTATAATAATCTTAATTTCAAAATATACCAAAGAAATGAAAAAGACATAAATTAAATATACAAAATAAAAAATAACAAATAAATAACTAATATATATATATATATATATATATATATATATATATATATAGAGAGAGAGAGAGAGAGAGAGAGAAGAAGAAGAAGAGAGCATTCCGATTATACATAACTTAATTATTTGCACACTTTCTCCAACTACTCAACCAGCATAGATAAGAAACATAGAGGTTCTGACCGTAAATAACTCCCAGCATCAGACCTAATAAAAAAAAAACTAGTTGCTAGTTTCCGCTTCCTTCTTACTCTAGTGGTCTCCATACATAAACCGCTTGAAGATTTCCAAACAACGATGACAATTACATTACAAGATATTAAACAATACAGGGACAAAACAATAATGATAGTCTGTTTTTGTTTGCATGAAATATTTCCAAGCAAAGACAAACTCGTGCATACGAGACGCTGGAAGCGAAAATCGCACAGCATAACTATTTTTTTTTTGCTAGGATCTGTTTATTGTAACGTAGTTGTCATCTTTGATAATGGCTTATGTAAGCCGAAAGCTTAAAAATTAATAAATACTCATATATCTACAACAGATTCTAGCAAAAAATTAAGTTATGCGGGGCAATTTTCACTTCCAGCGTCTCGTATGCACGAGTTTATCGTTGCTTGGAAATCTTCCATATAAACAAAAACAGACTATCATTATATATATATATATATATATATATATATATATATATATATAGCCAAAAAGAAGTGGTAGCCGTTGGTTCGAACGGCCCATTGAAATGTGACACTGATAATCATGTACCTCACCAGTCTTAACTCAAAACCAAATCGCTCATTTTTTCCTCAGTTTAATGCAATACCAAATATTCTCTTTAGGGTTCAAATTTGGATTCTGACCAGATTAAAACATTAGCGGTTTGGTGTCTTTGTAATATGGTCAGAAGCATTGTTCTGTTGATAAATAACAATAAACCTGTTTATACTCAAGACTATATTTAAACAGCGGTCGGTTTTATACTTGAGTCTATATGCAAACAAGAGTGCGTTTTATACTCGAGTCTGTATATAATCAACAGTGTATTTTATTACTCGGGTCTATATGCCAACAGTTGTCGATTTTATACTTGATCCTATATGTAAACAGCGGTCGATTTTATACGCGATCCTATATGCAAAAAGCGGTCGATTTTATACTTAAGTCTATATGCAAACAACAGTTGTTTTTATACTTCAGGCTATAGGTAAAAATTGTTCACGTTTATACTTGATTCTACAGGCAAACATAAGCTTTTCATAATTTAATCTGATAGCAACCGTCTGGTACGTTGCCACATTTTGTGTATTTGTGGGGGATCTGACACCTCTGCAGCGGATACCAGCGATTTATTCTAAGTTCTGTCAACACACCAACTGAAAACAGATAAGGACTGGAGTAATGCAATTGCGAAAAATCCTATCACGAGATTTGCTTAAAAAGATCATGTATTTTGTGTTTGTTTAAAGTGACTGTGTCAGAAAACAGAATGATTAATAATGACTCCTATTTAACTTGACTACGTCGGAAAAGTTTGTTGTCTTTTCAGAGTCATGTACAGTGTCCAGTTTTACTAATCATTCCCGGGGCACGCCTGCATAGCATTTAAATTTTATCATTAATTAGAAAAAGAAATCTTTAATCAAGTGAATAAAAGCGACGGGTAAATCGACCAATTTGCAATTCTGATGCGAAAGGAATCAGGCAAATATGACTACGTCTTTCTTTATTTTATTCAGATAAATTTACGTTTATTTTCAATTCATTAAAATTCAAATTTTTCATGTAATAGAATAGTGGCGTTTAACTTTTCTCTGTACGCCAGCCGATTTTAAAAAGTCAGACCAGTTGCGGGTCAGTGTCTGTGATTCGAAATAAATTTCATTCCCATGACTGAACTGACAAAAAACAAATTCTCCATCACCACAGTACCTTCTGTTCGTAAAACTTCAGATTATGACTTTCTTTCTTAAAGAATAAACTTATTTAATGCGTAAAAATATCATTAACGCATTTTTCGAAATAGTAAGTTTTTTTTTTTTAAGTATCTTTTCTTCTTTTGTGCCGCTCTAGTAATTATCTGTCTCCTCCGGCTATCCTTTTTACAGGGGTCAGATCTGGCCGAAAATGCAGTACTGCTGCCATACATGAGTAGGAGCTACATAGTCTTCAATTTCCAGTCTCATCCTTGTGGTTGATGAATGTTTTCACCCTCAACCCCTTTCCCACAAATGAAACAACGCAAAGTTTTTCACTGTTTTTGTCGCTATTTCCATGGAAAGTTTTCAAACGAACAAAACTAGTTAGTTCCACCAGTCTTAACATGACCCCTTTTCTTCCCGTGCACGTTTCCTAGGGCCTGTTGGTCTAGTGTCGCTTTCTGACGATGTGCAGCCGCTCACTTCGGAAACTGCTTCTTCCGATACCTCAATCCTCGCGCCACTATAAGCGATAAGGAAAGTTATACACCTCCAAACTGGTTTAGATTGCTACCAGTATAAGTCGTCAATCGTCTAGTCTTTGTTCTTCAAGTGTTGTGATTCGTAATGGCGAAGAAAGTTGTCTTTCTTCTTTTAGCCAATAAGCCGTGGTAAACTTCTTGTTGACGGTTGAGCTGACTGGAAATAAGATCAAGTTCTTACCGAAGAAACAATAATGCCAGTTTTGGTTAAATATACACAAGTTAATGAAGGTAAATAAAATAATGTACAAACGAATATATTAGGCATCTCTTAACGCAAAAAAGATTAGAAGGCAGCGTTTTGGAATATCCATCTATGCGTTCAGCAAAGTTCAATAAAAAATTCAAGTGAATATTAGGTCGCTTCCTCGTGCGGGTGTGCAGCTGCGCGTATGTTTGACGATCCGTCTGTCTGGCCTCCCAGCCTGTCTCTCACAATCGCATTGAATTTATACATAATTCCCCGACCCCATATTAAACTGTTCACAATCCAAAATAACTCAATTTCCCATTGTTTAATGTCGGGGTTAAAAGACCAAATCCTATGTTTTGATTTTGCATCATTTCATTCAGAGCCATTGCTCCAAAACCCAAAACATATTCGGCTGACATATCCGTTAGAAACGAAATCAAAAACATAGGCTCTGACCTGTCTAATTGGAGGTCACTCCTGGCCTGTCGACAAATATCCTGCCCGGGCAAATTAATAAGGACTAGAATAACACATCAATCCATACTAAATCGTCGCCATGAAATTTAAAAACTACACTATCTGCTAATAACAAGTTACCTTTTATAACTAACGTTAACGGCGAAGACCCGACATACCACTCACGTC